CTGTATGTGTGCAGGTGTGTATGTGTGTGTGTGTGTGTGTGTGTGTGTGCGGGTGGGGCAGGGGGAAGAGGGTTGAAGGTTATAGCGAGAGAAGGCCTAATCAACATTTGGCGTTTCTTTCTGACCCCTCTGTCTTTTATCTCTTCCTCTCCATGTCCTGAAAGACAGTATATTTATGAATTATTTATCCATGTTTGAAAATGTTAAACTTGTGATGTTCTTGTCCCGTTGTCTTATCTCCAAGGGCATCGTCAAAAGCTGTAAAGGGAGGGGGGGAAAAACTACAAAAACAAAAACCACAAATGCATCGAAAAGCATGATCATAAAATTGTCTCTGACAGCGTTGAATTCAGATGCACTTGACTACAGAACGTTTCATCTTAAAAGGCCTCCTAAATATAACTGTTTACACTAGAGAGATCAAAAATAGTGTAAACTACTCATCAGCACTTATCTGCTGTGCGGCTGCTTTACAAACCAGTGGAAGAAACATTGAGAGACATTAAATAAAATGTTTTTATTCAGCGTGTTTAATTGGTTATTTATACTAAATGAACCTTTTTTATCTCACTCAATATAAGATAGAGTATTAATTCCAAAACTCTGTAATCTTTTACTCCTTTTCTCTTACCACATCAAAATTCGGCTATAAATTTGACTCATTTCTAGCCATTCTTGTGGCTAAGGTGAATTAGATGTAGTGACAATTGGGATGACTCAGTCGCTGTTTTAGGTTAATAAGTATTTTGAGAATTTTGTTAAAGTCTATCGAGTAGTTCATGAGATTTTTTTGCTAGCAGTGTTAATTCTAATAATTAATAGAAAGGAGTATGTGTTCAGAAAGACTCTCAGCTACTACAACCCCAAAGTTTAGCCCAGTAACTGTAAGTTATAGCCACTGTTGTGTTAAAAAAGTTTGTTTATCTGTAGCTGCGTTTCCAGTGACCATGAAAATGCGCAAATTAGAATTTCAAAAATAAATTTGCTCAATGGAAACAATTTCGAAAAAATTACGTTTTTCGACTAAATGTTTTTGCGCTAGGAACAGGTGGTTTTTCGGCCGTATCAAAATTGGTGTTTTTTGAAAAACTGCAATGGAAACATTTTTTTCGCATCACAGGAGTCACGTGATTAACAACCGGCTGTTTTTACTGGCAAAAAAGATGACGACGAAGAAGATAACAGGAAGTAGAAGTAGAAGTAATATCACAGAAGTAGTAAAAAAAGGTAGTAAACTCACCGACTACAATTTCCCAAAAACACAGCACACTTAGCCGCTCCCAAGTAGGGGTTTGTCACTAGAAAGCCTCGAAAAAAGACGCTGACATCTCCTCTGATGATGAGCGCTAGTGTCGCTGTAGCAATATGCTATGTGTTTACATCCATTGCCGCCATGTTTGTAATGACTTATCGCGAGAACAAACGTATTCACATGTGACTTAGCATTTCTTACTTAATGGAAACACTGCAGTTGCAAAACTGTTTTTTCGACATTAACAGAATATCGACAAAGTTTTGCGCACATTTGCAATGGAAACACAGCTTGTGGTGGCCATCTTGAATGGGGTTAAAGTTGTTCAGTTGTAGATGTTCATTCATTGATTTATTTTTGAGAGTTGCATTCAAATTCGTACACTGATTCATGAGATATTTTGCTAACAGATACATAGGATTAACTCCAACAGTTGATGGCAAGTTTTAAAAAAAAAAAAAAGAACTTACAAGATCTGTGCTCAGAGTAAGTGTTGAGGATGACTCTCAACTACTGTCACACTGAATTTTAGTTTACTATTTG